GGAAAGGGAATGGGAGCCCAAATCAGGCAGATTTAGGAATTCTGGAAGTATTCATCCAGTGAGAAGATTTTCAGGATGATCATGGGAAATAATAATTTCTAATCTTATTTTTCTACACCTTTAAATCTACAGGAGCTAACCTGCCTTTGTAGTGGTGTGGTAGTTGTTAATACCAACAGAAAATTTTGTTTTACTGCTATAACTGCTTTTATTTTTCCTGTTCTTTCTTTGTGCTGGTACTTCCAGCCCTGCCTTGGCATCATTCCCTGTTAGTTTGGCACTTTTAGGAGTTAATTCATGTCTTCAAGGTGCCCATGTCAAGGCCAGCCCTCTCATCAGGCTCTGATTTAATAAAGCCAAAAGGATTTTTACTGAGGCAGCACCAAGTGCTCCATTTCTCCATCGATATCTTGCCAATTCTTCAGCCCAAACTGTTCAGCTCAACAGATTTTTTGCTGGTGATCATTTCAAGGGGATGGCTCCTCCTGTGACCTTTGTGTCCCTCTCACATTTGAATATTAATGTGCTGCTGCAGAGAACAGAATTGATTTAAGAGCTCAGAGTGGCTTTTGGACCTGCAGAGACCACAAGGAGGAGATCAGTATTCCTGCTGCTCCCTTCTTTTGCTCATCTCTGCTCATTTTCCTTTTTTTTCTCTCTCATTCTGCAGTTCAACCTTGTTTTTTTCCAAGTTTGAAGTCTTGTTTGGAGGGTGTTTGTGCAAAAAGTGTCTTTTCTACAATAATGTAGGATAATTCTCAATCACATCTCTGATGTTCTATTCACTGTGTCTCCTTAACTGTTCTTAAACAGGACCAGGAAAGGTTTAACTCTAATTAGTGAGTGAAATACAATAATTTCAGGCTTTCTAGACCATTCTGTTGCATTGTCACCACTCAGAGACTTGGGAACAAGCCCTGCAATATTGGTTTTGCTGTCTAATCCAGCTTGTGCACTGCTCCAGCACAGCTTAATGCAAAACAGCAAAGACAGATCTCATTAAACAGACCAGCATTGTGTGCAGTTGTTTCTCCTTGTGCCACTGGATGGATGAGATGCCAGCAATAATTTCATTATTGGGCCGTACCCACAGGATGAGAGCCCCCTGTTAGGCAGGGCAGGGCATTGATTGCCAATTAGCAGGATCATTAATCAGTGCAATCCCAGACATTTGCATTTCATGAGGTCACTGCAGCATCTCCCTGTAACCCCATGGACACAACCCCTCCACGTGCAGCCTGATGGGTTTTATTGCTCCAACAGGATTTCCTGATGGAAACATTCATTATGTTCAAGGACCTGATTGGGAAGAACGTGTATGCAGCTGACTGGATGGTCATGAACATGATGCAGAGCAGGTACAGGCCTGAGCTGGGCTGGGTCTGGCTCTGGGGCCTCCCTGGGCCTGATGGGAGGGTGACTCACACAAGACAGTTTTCTTCCTATTTTTTACAATTTATTTATTTTATTTATGTTCTTTTCTTTATTTATTTCTTGTTATTTTTATTTATTTATTGTTGTATCTTAAGGCTTAAGTCTGGTTTAAGTACAGGCTTAAGTCTGGGTTAGGTCTGGCTTTGGAGCCTCCCTGGACCTCACAGGAGGGTGACTCACACAAGTCAATTTTCTTGGTTTTTTAAAAAAAAAAATTAATTTATGTTATTTTATTTTCTTTATTTATTTCTTGTTATATTTATTTTTATTTCTTAAAGCTTCAGTCTGGTTTAAGTACAGGCTTAAGTCTGGGTTAAATGGTTTTGGAGCCTCCCTGGACCTGACAGGAGGGCGACTCACATGTGGCAGTTTTCTAGTATTTTTTTTAAATTTATTGATTTCATTTATGTTATTTTATTTTCTTTATTTATTTCTTGATATTTTTATTTATTTATTGTTGTTTCTTAAGGCTTAAGTCTGGTTTAAGTACAGGCTTGAGTCTGGGTGAAATGGTTTTGGAGCCTCCCTGGGCCTGACAGGAGGGTGACTCACATGTAGCAGTTTTCTTGTTATTTTTTAAAATATATTGATTTCATTTATGTTATTTTCTTTTATTTATTTATTTATTGTTATTTTTATTTATTTTTTTTTATTTCTAAGGCTTAAGTCTGGGTTAAGTGGTTTTGGAGCCTCCCTGGGCCTGGCATGACTCACATGTGGCAGTTTTCTTATTTTTTAAAGTGTATTGATTTCATTTATTTTCTTTTCTTTATTTATTTCTTCTTATTTTATTTATTTAATTTTATTTCTAAGGCTTGAATCTGGTTTAAGAACAGGCTTAAGTCTGGGTTAAGTCTGGCTGGAGCCTCCCTGGACCTGACAAGAGAGTGACTCACATGTGGCAGTTTTCTTTTATTTTTTAAATTTATTGATTTCATATATGTTATTTTCTTTTCTTTATTTATTTATTGTTATTTTATTTATTTATTTTATTTCTAAGGCTTGAGTCTGGTTTAAGTACAGGCTTAAGTCTGGGTAGAGTCTGGCTTTGGAGCCTCCCTGGGCCTGACAGGAGGGTGACTCACATGTAGCAGTATCCTTGTTATTTTTTAAAATGTATTGATTTCATTTATGTTATTTTCTTTTATTTATTTATTGTTATTTTTATATATTTTCTTCTTATTTTCTTCAGCCACTTCAGGTTGGTTTCAATCAGATTCCAGCTGTTTTTAGTTCCTGTGTATTTTCACTGGTAGAACTGGCAGTCTCTGTCCTGCCCAGAACATGACTGAACCCTGGGTTCTTTTTTCCAGCTTAAACCAGAGAAGCCTTTTTGATCTCAGTTCTGGGGGAATCACATTGGAAACCTAAACCCAGAGCTGGCCAGTGCTTAACCCCTGTCCCAGAGAGGAAATGTTCCCTGATATCCAACCTGAGCCTCCCCAATGCAGCTCGAGGCTGTTGAACCAAGGGTTGGCTTTGCCTGAACGTTCCCTGATTTAGAGGAATTCCTGCCTTTTTGGGAGCATCTGTTGCTGTCTGCTGAGCTTGCACATGGGAGCTCTGAGCCCAGAGCTGCAGTGTCACTGATTTTGGGTACAGAATCACCTTATTTGATGTTTTTGTCTCTTCAGGGTTTTCCTCCGGGCAGTGAACCAATTCACCTCCGTCCTCAACCGCTTCTTCCTGGATCAGACTCATTTTGAGCTCCAGGTGATTGTCCTGTTTTCTCTGGATTTTCTTATGGATCCCAGCCCTGTTTTTTCTGGATTTTCCTATTGATCCCAGACCTGTTTTTTCTGGATTTTCTTATGGATTCCAGACCTGTTTTTTCTGGATTTTCTTATGGATCCCAGACCTGTTTTTTCTGGATTTTCTTATGGATCCCAGACCTGTTTTTTCTGGATTTTCTTATGGATCCCAGACCTGTTTTTTCTGGATTTTCTTATGGATCCCAGACCTGTTTTTTCTGGATTTTCTTATGGATCCCAGACCTGTTTTTTCTGGATTTTCTTATGGATCCCAGACCTGTTTTTTCTGGATTTTCTTATGGATCCCAGCCCATTTTTCTCTGGATTTTCTTATGGGTCCCAGACCTGCTAGAACAGCTAAACCCCACTGCTAGCAGGCTGTGGCTCACTGAGGTTCCCTCCCTCATGGAGGGGGCTCTGCATTTGGGGCTGGGCAGCTCTTTTGTGCCTGTTGTTGCTTTTCCTTTGTTTTCTCCTCTCGGGTTTCTGTGCTTGAGATGACCCTGAGGTGTTGGAAACTCTCTTTTTCCCAGCCCTGCGACCAAAGTTGAGATTCATCAGTTCTGCTTGTCAAGGTTGTTTATTTTCTCTTATCTGTTCCATTCTATCTCTGAGCTGCTGAGATCTGTCCAGCAGATCGGGCTGTGGCACAGTCCCTGCCCTTGGGGTGCTGTTGGCTTTTTATACTCAGAACTACCTGTGCTTTATTTACAATAATTTTCCAGTACCCATCACCTATGTTAGACAGTCTGTCTCTGCTCTAAACCAATCCAAAAGTGCCACCATCACAGCAGAGGATGGAGGACAAGAAGAAGAAGAAGGAAGGAAGAAGAAGAAGGAAGGAAAAAGAAGAAGGAAGGAAGAAGAAGAAGGAAGGAAGGAAGAAGAAGAGGAAGGAAGAAGGAGGAGAAGGAGGAAGGGACAGGACACACCCAGATTCCTCTGTCTTGCCTCCTGAACCCCCATTCTAACATCCCAAAATTCTACTTTTTCACCCTGTGACAAATTCACTCTCATTCTACTCAAACCCCTGTGCCTTGTAACTCCTCACACAAAGTTGGGAATTGTTTCCATGGGCTGAAATCAAAGGCACAGGTGGTTTTGGTGGTTTTGACTCTGTGCCAAGGTCTCTGAGCCCCCTGCCAGGGTCTGGAGTCCCCCAGGGCAGCCAGAGCAATGTCCTGGCTTCTGACATCCTCCCATTTTAATCTCCTTTCTCTCCCCCAGCTCTGGAATAACTATTTCCACTTGGCCGTTGCCTTCCTCACTCACGAGTCCCTGCAGCTGGAGACCTTCTCCCAGGCCAAACGCAACAAAATCATCAAGAAGTGAGTTCCCATTTCCCTTTTTGCTGTCAAGGCTCCGTTTGGGCTGTTCAGACGCCCCCAGGCTGGGAGGAGGTGCTGTGGAGATGCTGATGAAGGCACTGTGGTAAAGGGGTGAGCAGGACAAGATGTCAGGGCTGGAAATTAGGGCTGGGTGAAGTTTGGTCAGGCAGATCTTGAACTGTTGCAGCACCTTGCCAGGGGTCTCTCCACTGGAGAGTCTTTATTGGAAAGGTTGGCATGATTCCCAAAATTCCCTTTTGCAATTCCTCAGCCTTTGTGGAAGGTAGGTCAGAGGAATCCTCAAAGCCCTCCAGCTTTTTAGTCCCCCACCTTTTACTTTTCTTCATTTCAGAACCATTCATATCCCCAAACCAGCAATTTTTAGTCACTGAGAAGCTTTTACCTCTTCATTCCCTTGGCATTGAGTGCCAGGATATCTCTGAGCATCCTGACACAGACTTTTGTTAGGATTTTTCCTCTTTTTTCTGCAGAAGTGGCTTGAAGAAGCCTGATAGTGAAATCATTTTGCATTGCCT